CGTTCATGCTCTGTCTCTCTCTGTCCCAAAAATAAATAAACGTTGAAAAAAAAAAATTTAAAAAAATAAAAAAAATAAAAAAAATAAAAAAGCAGACACCAATCCTGGGCCAAAGTACTGCATGTGAAAAAAAAACACTCTAAGCACTCTAAACACTCTAAAACCTCTAAGCACTGATTAGAGGACATGGCAATCAAACCTGATTCATCAGGCAAATTTTAAACAGGAATTTTCACAATAGGCTCCAACCACAGCTGCTAAATGAAAAACTCTGGGGTCTGGCTACTCAAAATGTGATCACTTGGGAACTCGTTAGAAATGCAGAATCTCAAGCCTCATCATAGAACTAGTGAAACAGAATCTGTGTTTTAACAAATCCTCCAGTGACTCATTTGCACAGTAAAGTATGAGAAGTATTGCTGTAGGGGTGGAATCCAAATACACTTGTTAAAAAGATCCTTTAGTAATTTTGATAATTAGCTGAGTTTGGGAACCACTGCCCAATAAGAAAACTACTGATAATTTTAATGAAGATCCTACATTATAAAGAAAAAGTTTAATTATGTTCAGAATGTTCTATTTATTTTTTTAGCTTTTTTCTCCTTTTCTCTATTATCCTAATAACATTATAACACTAAAAAGAAAAAAAAAGCCACTCCTTGACAGCACCTCCTTAACACATTAACTGGTTTTAAAAACATTCCTGTCTTAATCTATATGCACACACATCTAAAAAGTGTTGCAACCAAACAATAGACTATAAATTTGTATATACATCTTTTGTTTGTAAAGTAAGGGGAAATGTGTAAAGCATTTTAGAAAGTTCTGCATCCAAATGGAATAAAATAAAATTTGGGGACTTAAAGTAATTAACCTTTATTAAGTAGAAAACTCATTTCAAATACAATGCTGTACAAATATATTTTATCTTAGGATGAAAGATAATTTTTAAAAAATACAGGTTAAAAAAGAAATGCAGGTTTCTATCCTTAGATATCTGAGTGTGAATGAGTTTTCAAAAACTCAAACTCGTGGCTTTACGCCTTATATTTTCTTCGTAAAGAGAAAAAGTGTCATCCAGTAGTAATTTTCTAGACTGTCTTCACAGCTCTTGAGTATGTGATAAAAGAATTCAAATAACAATAGCCAAGCATCATTAGGCATTAAAAATAGGCAATATTAGAAGGAGTTTACATGTCCTAACTTAGTTAATCCTTTTGACGACCCTATGAAGTAGGTACTATTTTATTCTCATTTTACCAATGAGGTAGTCGAGGCATGGAAAGGTTAAGTATCTTGTCTCAGGTTGTAAGTATTGAAAGAGGAATGGGGGAAGATGGTTTCAGAGCCCATTTCTAAACTTACTCTGCTATCAAGAGTAATTTGTTAGCAAAACAACATCATTTTAATAAAAAGGCAAATATGTGGAAAATAAAATCAAAAGTTAAAAAAAGGAATATAATCAGACATAAATTAGAATCACTGAGTTCACGTTTTATTTGGTTGAAACACAAATGAATTATTTGTAGAATGATATGCAGTCCATTTAATTTCAAATCTCATCAATCATCTTGGTTACTAAAAATTAGTACCTTGCACTTTTCGACTTCTTCCTCAATTTTCTCAACAATAGCTGCATCCAGAATTTGTAAATCACAAGAAGAACGAGACAGAGTACTGACAGGATGTCCCTTTAGCCAAGTAATAATTTCTTGAACTTTCTCAGCACTACATTAAAAACAATAATTATTTCACATTGATTAAAACTTTCTGAGGGTTTATACAAAGAGCCTAATATAAATTTTCTGAAGGCCGTGAATTATAAAAGACATCAAATACATAATTAATGATCACTAAACTTAATTGGGATTATAAATCTAATATAAACATGGACATATTACTTCTCAGTAATTTTAAAAAAAACACAAAATTTGGGGCACCTGCCTGGCTCAGTGAGGAGAGCATGCAACTCTTAATCTCAGGGTCGTGAGTTCCAACCCCATGATGGGTGTGGAGACTACTTACATAAATAAAACTTAAAGTGAAGTAAAAGAAAATAAAATTATCACAAAATTAATTTAAAAGTACTTTACTGATATAAGGGATATAAAAATTATATGAAGATCTTAAAACAAACAAAAATATATCTATAAATATAAAATCCTTCCCACAAAAGTAATAAAATTCTTGATCAACTAGCTGCTGTACATTTCACTGGAACCACTAAGTTGAACTATGAGGCAATAAATAACCACAAATTTTGCTTACCCATTCTCATTTTCTCCAGGCCAAATATCATCTTCATAGAACACATCCTCTTGGCTGTTTTTGGCTATATAACTAAATAGTTCTGGAGCTCTAGCCAAACAAACAAAAATACTACTTAGAATATATATACAGCTAACTCCACATAAACTTCCTATTATTTGATTTTGGATCTTAAGGAGACATATAAAATATACTGAGAGTTGATTATTACACAGAGTATTAATAAAGAATAGAGACTAAATGATTTAGTAAATGATTTAGTAAATGATTTAGTAAATGAAGACTAAATGATTACTAAACTGTAATAAACTAGTTACTTACAAACTTTAATTACTGACTCTAATTGTTCTTAGATCCTAATGACAGGTGATAAGTGGACAAAACAAAAATTTACAGGTTCATTTTCTAATTTTCATAACAAAGCTGAAGCATCCCATAATAAGAAAATTAAAACACATTAAAAGTTTCTTGATATTCCTCAAAACTTCACTGCTTCCTGAATATTGGAGGACTTTTAAATACATAGCAGATTGAATACATGTGCTTAATTTTTGCTCACTGCCCAACCTATTACAAGAAAAGTATAAAAAAGGACATAAACCCAGAAAGGCATGAAAAAGGGAAGTGGAGAGTCTGATAGCATATATGAATTGTTAACAAAATTTTAGAAACTGGAAACTGGATGGGTAAGTATCAACTGGTCTGAAACATAGGGAAAGCTGTACCCTAACCCCCAGTGTGAGAAGTCAAAAAGCTAGATGATTTAAACTGTGCAAGTCTGCAAAAGCTCAGGAATTATGGGCTCTGGGTACATTTTTATTTATTTATTTATTTTTTTACATTTATTTATTTTTGAGAAACAGAGTGAGACAAAGCGTGAGCGGGGGAGGGGCAGAGAGAGAGAGAAGGAGACATAGAATCTGAAGCAGGCTCCAGGCTCTGAGCAAGTGGTCAGCACAGAGCCTGATGCGGGGCTTGAACCCATTAACTGTGAGATCATAACTTGAGCCGAAGTCACATGCTCAACCAAATGAGCCACCCAGGCGCCCTTCTAGGTACATTTTAATGGTGCAGTATGGGAGGGTTGAAGTTAAGTAAGCTTTTAGGTGAATATTTTGTATAATAAGCAGCTAGATGATTATGTGATTACTCACCTTCACTCCAGCACAAGACCTGTCTGTAGTTTATCTTTTAGAGAGGCTGAACAGGGGATGCTCTAGCTTTAGATATACAAGGCACAAGGAGATGGATGGGTAGATGGGGGATGAGGAGATGAGAGGGCATTAATGGAAGTGTAACTACTATACAATGTGTTGCTAGGAAGCAGGCTAGGAAGTGTAACTCCTTTAAGAAGCAGACCCTGAGACTGGACATAAGCATGCAGAAAGTTTATCAGAGAGCTCTTGTGGAATCAACACAAGTAGAAGGGAAAAGAAAAAAGGAATGAAGCATCACTGGGTACAGGGAAAAGTTAGGCTGTGATCCATTGCTAAAAAACTCCTTGGTCAGTCCTACAGAGATCTCAAACTAGGATGGCCCTTAAGGATTGTCCTAAACTGGGGCAATGAGGTTGGCTGGGTCTTTACACCTCCTTGTAGATCAGGTGTTGGATCTGTGGGTGTTGTGGGAAGGGGATGTAACTTCAGGTTGAGGCAGTTCTCTTCTGCAAGGCAATTCCTGAAGAGAGCTCACAACTGAGAGCTGGCAGACAGCAGCATTCCAGCTGCCAAATAAATAGGTCCTTTAGTCTTAAAGGGAGGTTTGGAGAGTGTATCATAGTATCTACTACATAATAAGATCCTTTTTCCCTGCTTAATTTCCAAAACACTGGAAGTCAGTTTTGTTCCTCACATCTGTCCGCCAAAGAAAAGGCTGGAAGACACTTCTCTAGGAAAACTAGCCAGCCCAAGAGAAAAGACACACATATAGGTAGTGATATTTGGAGGACCTCTGCAGAAATAGCAACGTCCCACCTGAGAAGGCCCACCAAAGCACATTACATTTTCAACCAGCTTTTTGGTGCCTCACTCTTAAATATGATTAGACACCAAAGAACCACTGGACAAGTTAAAAAAAAAAAGAGCAATTCAGAGAAAACAAAATATAGAGAATAGAAGAAGAAAAACTAAAACTACCATCTTCAGAGAAATAAAACATTTCATTCATTATAAGAGCAAGATACTATAAAAAAGGAATGTCAGAGAATTAAGGATGAACTCTTAGAAACTAAAAATAAATCAAATAGAAATAAAAATGATATGAGATAAAGTTGAAGAAAATCTCCCACAGAGTAGAAGTATAGCAATAAAGAAAATGGGTGAGAAGAGATAAAAAAAATTAAGAGGATTAATCCAGAAGTCTATCATCTAACAGAAGTCTCAGAAAGAATAGAAAAAATGGAAAGGAGGCAATTATCAAATAAATAATATTAGAAATTTTCTCAGAATGGAAGGGCATCGGTTTCAAGTCTGAAAGGACTGAACAGTGAAAAGAAAGAAGATACATACCAAGGCACACTTCATCACATTAAAGAAAGTTTTTTTCACGTTTACTTATTTTTTTTGAGACAGAGAGAGAGAGCACGTGTACATGTGGGGGAGGGGGAGAGAGAGAAGGAGAGAGAATCCCAAGGAGGCTCCACATTGACAGTGCAGACTCTGATGCAGGGTTCAAACTCATCAACTGTGAGATCATGACCTGAGCTGAAATCAAGAGTCAGGGGCTCAACTGACTGAGCCCATCAGGTGCCCCAACACATCATCACATTGCAATGTGATGGGAAGATGCAAAAAAGATTTCAGAAACTGAAAATAGATCACACACAAAGATTCAGAATCAGAATGGCACAGGACTTCTCACCAGCAAAGGAAACAAGAACTTTTCAAATTCTGAGGGAAAATAATCTCCCATCCAGGATTCTACACCTAGGCCAGCTATTAATCAAGTCTGCTCAGGGAAGAATAAAGACATTTTCAGACATGCAAGCTTTCTCAGGAAGCTACTGGAGTAAGTGCTCCATCAAAATGGAGACAAACCAGAAAAAAGTAAGATATGAAAGCCAGGAAATAAAGGAATCCTACACAGAAGAATGGTGAGGGAAATTCCTAGAATGGCAGTAAAGAGAAAGTCTAGAACAAGAGCTGTGTGATATCCCTAGAAAGCAATTAGTTTACGTTGAGGCAGGAAGACAGAAGGTTTTAGGAGGAAGTCTACAAAAAGAAAATGGAACCAAGAGATCTCCTGATCTGACCCTATCAAGTTTTCCAACTATGACACACAGTTTAGGGCCGAATTAGTTATAAGGACACAGACAATAAGCAAATGATTAAACAAGATGTGGAAATCAAAAATGTGTACAAGGAAATGCAACCATAAAACTCTACAGGGTCCAGCTGTGACCATTTACATCACCTTAATCAAGTAAACCATAAATACAGATTTGTTAAACTATAATGAAAGGGGAAATAAATATACATGTGTGTAGGGAGGTGAGGAAATAGAAAGGGGAGGTAGTAAAAGAGAGCTAAAGTTTCATCTTTCATGGTAGGAAATCAAGGCATATGTTAAGCTGAAAATCATGAAAAGTAGGGTAAATACAATGCTTTAAAGAAATACAGAAGTGAACAGAAGAAATAATTACATTTTCAGATGGCAATATGAGATTGAATTGTGTTCCCTCCCCAAAAGATTCCAGTACCACTCCCACTACCTTCAGAATGTGACTTCATTTGAAAACAGGGTTTTTATAGAGGTTATAAAATAAAAATGAGGTCTTTAGGGTGGGCTCCAATCCAACATGACCATGTCTTTATGAAAACGGGAATATGGTCACAGAGACAGACGTGCACAGAGGAAAGATGGCGTGAAGACATACAGGGAAAACACATGTGAAGATGGAGGATGGGAGTAACGCATCTACAAGTTAAGATCAAATGTGTGAGGCTACAAGAAGCTAGCAGAGAGGCATTGAATGGTTCCTTTCCTAGCATCTTCAGAGGAAGCACGGCCCTACCAAACACCTTGATTTTGGACTTCTGGTCTTCAGAAATGTGAGACAATAAATTTCTGCTGTTTTAAGCCACCTAGTTTGTGGTACTTTGTTATGGCAGCCCTAGTAAACTAGTAAGAGGATCCTAAATACAAGGTTAGAAACTGGTGGAACAATGGAAAGAACATTCAGTTAGGAATCAGAAGTAAAGGTATTTCCTCCAAATCTTTGTGACTGAGTAATTCAAGTAACCTTGGTATACAGTTTTGTCATTTTTATCATGAGGAGCTGAGATTTACTGATTTCTTAGACCATTTCAGCATAAAATTCTATAATTTTAGGACAGTAATCTATTATCCAGCTGGAGTTTTAAGACTCAGGAAAATCCCCTGTGTGAAGAGCTGTTTTGTTCACCCATACCAATCTTCTTATTACTAACACAGACATACAAAGTAGTGAATTATTTATGATAGCAAATTGAGGAAAATTTTAATTAAAAGGAGGCCAAGGGGCGCCTTGCTGGCTCAGTTGGTGGACTATACAACTCCTGATCTTGGTGTTGTAGGTTTCAGCCCCACATTGGGTGTAGAGCTTACTTAAAAAAAAAAATCTTTAAAAATAGAAAAATAAAAATAAAAGGAGGCCAATTATCATCATTCTTTTTCATTTTAAATAAATAAGTACAGTATTTTTTAGCTAATAGCTATGGTGCTCCATGGTATAAAATTAGGTTTACATGTAATACATGTCCCATCATACCAAAGGAAATATTTTTAGTCTAAAATTAATATCAGAAAGGCAAAATAGTTACGACATTCCCACATTTTTGGATGCCTAATAGGACCTTATTATGCACTTACCTCTCTAAGTACTCTGCAAGAAGCTGTTCTGCTGCAGATGAATACATCCATTCACTTCCAACTTTCTTAGTGTATCCAGGTACCTCCTCATTTTTTTTGTTGAATTTGAGATTCAAACCCACATTTGCTTTATGGTCTCCATGAGGGCTGAATGTAAACCACACACACACACACACACACACACGCACATTTTAAATTTTGTTCAAAGAATACAACGTTTAGCTTTCAATTCTTAGAAATACTTAGTTTTGATTGTTCTTCTATAGTTTTCATGGTTATTTCCAAAGCAGTAATTGAAAAACTAGAGGAAAGGCTTCAAAACCCAAGTTAACAAAGCATATAAATAGATTATGCAATTAGAGAAGAGAATGAAATAAGAAAATGCAGGGAAATATATTATTGAGATTCACACACACCTTCTGATACCTTTTTTCAAGGTTCAATTTGTTAGCTGCTAAAAATAAGAACTGTCTTTCCAAACACCTACAACATGTGCCATTTAGATGAAAGATCACCATCAGAGGAATTTATGCATAATTTTTAAAGAAAATTCAGAGCAATTAATAAAAGAAAATAAATACTAACATAACCAGTTTATCTTTATCATTTAGTTTTTTTCTGCCACTTTAAGTAAATTTCTCTAACATAAACTTACTTTCTCCTAGATCCTCTTCCAATAAAAATACTTCCTGTAAACCTTGAAACAAGGTATCCACTCACTCCAAGACGACTGGCCAACACATATCCTGGGTTGTACTTTATAGAATATTTCTTTAAATATAAAAACAAAAAGGTCAATTATGGAAACACAAAGCATCAAATGTTATTTCTTTACCTTTAAAATCTGGAGATAATCAAGACATCACTAACCATTGGAATGTGGCAATATAAGGATTCTCAAAAGTAAGTGATCCATTTCCCTTTTTTTTTTTGAAAGGATCTGTAGGCAGAATTTTTCTGCTCCTCTCTCTCCTTAAAGGACAGAATTCCCAAGGATGAATGAAAGGGGGAGGAAATATACAATTTGTGAAACTGTCTCAAGAAATAAACTCTACTGTAAATAGACTCTACTGCAAATTCTGCAGGCAGGAACTATTTCTTAAACATTAATTTTCATATTCCAATTAGGGCCTAGTAAAATACCTGGGACATAATGAAGCCTTGATGATTATTACACTGAACTAAAACATGAGTATGTCATCAAAAGAGTTGCTACTGAGCAAATTTAAAATATCCTTCATATATGGACATAAGTGATATTCACTTCCCCTAATACTATCATATAAAAGTAAGAAGTATGTATAGATTTATAGCTAATACAGTCAACGAAATGTAACCTTAATTTGTGCACTTAAGAAACTATAAAGATTATCAAATTAAAAAAAAAGTATTAGATCATATACTTTTTAACCAGGAAGCAATTACAAATCTAGTTCCTAAGCTACCATTTAATCCTAACATACATAATAATAACACATATTTTATGTGGATTTCACATTCTATATTTATATGAATTTTATTCACATTTTATATGTCTACAATAGTCTCCAAATGGATACAGTTTTTAGTTGCATGAAATATATAAATTATTAAAATATGTTAATATGCTGGTAAAGAACACAATATAGTTTCTCCATCAAGTGCATTATTAGGTTTAGAAATAATACAGATGAATCAAGTATGCTTTCTAAAATAGACAGGAAGAGTTAAGGTAGTAGTTCTCTATCACAGGTAATATCACTTAATTTTTCTAATAAGTATTTGGAAATATATAGGGGCATTCAGTTATAGTAATTGGCACAGGCTACTAGCACTTAGTGTCTAAGGGTCAAAAATGTCAACTGTGCTGTCATATACAGGAGTCCTATTTTACACATTAGTTGTCTCATCTAAAATACCAATAGTAGTCCTTTTGAGAAATATTCAGTTATGGTACAATTAAAATTGATGAAGATCATCACAAATATTCTAGAAAATGTAAAATAAAAAGCAAAGGGGGGCCTGGGTGGCTCAGTTGGTTAAGCATCTGACTCTTGGTTCGGCTCAGGTCATGATCTCACAGTTTGTGGGATTGAGCCCCACACTGGACTCTGTGCTGACAGTGTGGAGCCTGCTTGGGATTCTCTCTCTGCCTCTCCTTCTGCCCCTTCCCTGCTTTTGCTCGCTCTCTCTCTCAAAATAAACAAACATTAAAATTTTAAAAAAGGAGAGAACATTGGAGTAGAGAAGAAGAAGGCTTGAGTAAAAGTTGAAAAAGGTATGTAAAGAGAAAGAGAGCACAGTAGATAGAGAAGGCATGCCTAGCAACACTGTATACTAGAAGTGGACAGGCTCATTCATATCTAGAAAAAGCTAGGGATGGAGGAAAATAAATGTTCTTCTACTAACTCCCAGAATAGAGACCTCCAGCATTTTTATCAAATGGGCCACTCTCCTGGTTTCCTGACTGTGCTTTCTGAATTCTTTCTCCAAGAGACTTATTTGCCTTCCGTAATGTTTTCTCAAGTGTATGCTGATGCCCAATGCCTTGAATTCATTTTATAGGATATAAAGCTTTAGAATTTACTATTAGAGAAAAATAAAAGTGTAAGTAGCAATAGCTGACTGTGAATTAATTTCAGTTAATTATCCAATGAATCAATAAGAATATATATGACAGATATCAGGATCCTCCCCCCATTGTAGCAGGGAAAACTAAAAGGAGCCCAGTGAACATCTCTGGAGAAAAAGGTTCTGAAAAAAGTGCTGTGAATTTAAATGCAGTTTCCCCAATTTTCTCTTGTGACTGCAGTAAGGCCATTTGTCACTTGTAACTAAAAAATGTAGGCTTTGATTAATTATGAAAAGTTAAAAAAAAAAATCTAAGTCTATTCCCAAAGGGTATGGTAAAAAATGTGCCCCTTCTAAGCTTGAACACCATAACCCGTAATAACTGTTATAGATCAATAATGGGATGTCAGTGATTTCCCCCCCCCACCAAGATTTGCATGAAGTTCGAGCATAGATTCCACACTTATTTTTAAATAATCCTAGATGCAACTGTGAGGGAATTTAATCACTATTAAATAAAATATTTATAACACATTCAAAGAAGGTGGTAAAAAATATGCTTCTAACACTTTCAAAGTTCATCAGTTCTAAATTAAACAATATGGACTATAGTACTCACATGCTGGTTCTGTATTAAAGCATCAAGATTGGGTTCACATGGAATGCTGAAAACCACACGAATCCTACCTTCTGTAATCACATCTCCCGAATCCTGAACCTTGGACGAAAAAAAAAAATCACAGTATGTTTTATAGTCTCTTTCACTATGTTTTATGTACTTACTTTTCTACTTATTTGAAGGGTTTATTATTTCTGAAATACAGTAAAACAGTAAAGGTGGCTATGGGAGATTCTCTTAGAATTTATAAATGAATGTGATTATATTGTAAATTTGAGTCATTGTACCTTGCTTTAATAGCTGTTAGTCTTTTTTTGTCTTTAAATTAACTTTTTTATTTGCAAATAACTTTAAACTACCAAAAAGTTGCAAAAAAACCAGGTCAAAGATCACTTGTAAAACATTTACCTAGATTCACCTAATGTTAACATTTGTTTAAACATCTGTTTTAACATTTGTGCTCTGTGTCCAGGTACATACACATAATTATTTTTCTGAACTTTTTGAGGGTATATTATATATATCGTGTCCGTTACCCCTTAATATTTTGGCGTGTATTTCCTAAGAAGGGTATTTTATGATGTACATGATGTTCATCTGTCTCTCACTGTGATTATTTATTAACTTTGATCATACCAAAGATACTGCTCAATTTCTTCACTGTCCAATTATAGTTTTTTTTCTTCCACTTGCAACTAATTAACTGTCTGTGGGAAGATATTTTCTAAGACCATGAAAATTTTTCATGGAAATATTTTCATGGTCTTAGAAAGTATCCTACTCAGATAACAAATTCCCCCTAGATTTAGTTTCCAATGATGATTGTTGCCACATTTAATCTTTATCATAATGCTTACAAAAAGATAGTTTTCCAACTTTAGCACTCTCTCCACGTTTATTCTTGACATGATACTATAAGCAAGAGCCCTTCCATTCCCTATTTAATACTGCTGTGGCATCATTAATTCCTATTTTACCAATTTATTATTTCGGTATTCAAACTGTCCCAGATTTGGCCAGTAGGAGTCCCTTGAATCTGGTTCCTGTATTTATGTGATATGCTCTCATTAGTCATTTGAGCACTTCCTTACTTTCTGGCCTAACAAGTGTTTCCAGGCTGATCTTGTACCTAACCTGACCTAGCCCTGTAATGGGCCATTTCTCTGAAAAGCTTTCGGTGGGGTATGTTATTAGAAGTCAAAACCTGGAGATTATGTATGTTTACTGTTACCAGGGTGTCTTTGCCTCGTAATCCTTTTGAGCAAACAGAGCTAGAAAATATATGTATGTATGTATGTATGTGTGTATACATATATATCCATATACATGTGCCTATATACATATGATACACACATATATTTTAAAAATCATGAGTTCACATTAATACCTCCAAGTTTAATCTGTCCCCAGATTCTTTCTTGCATTCTTCCATTTCATATATGCATATATCTTTTTCCATGTGAGAACTGGAGTTCCTCAAACATCAACACATTTACAAGTTCATCAACCCAATAATACATCTACAATAATTTCAGAATTGCTTTTTCCATACCACCACAATAAACAAACCTGCTCTGTAAGAGATTAGGATTTGAATTCTTTTTTCCCTGCCTCCTGACCCCAACCTGCTCAAGACTAAAGATATAAAGCCAAATGCTGTGTTCCTAAGTTAGACAAATGAATTATTTTTCCCCCCTTCAGTATTACATTTTATTTTATACTTAATTGAAGAGAGTTAAATAACTCTACTAACTTGAAACAAGAACGAAATGTAATTAGTAACAATAACAGAAACTAACTTCTCCAGTGCAGCCATAATAGGGGGTTCCCAGCATAAAGACCATACTTCTAAGAGGAAACAAGTCATCCAATGTTTTGATACTGGAGAAACGGGAGTCAAAAGCTCGGATGTCCTATGTAGAACGAAATATAAAAGTAAATTATTATAATCAAAATTTCTATGGATTGCACATCAAATTTTTCTTCCTGTGGAGTTAGGACTACGCTGTCTGCAAATGTGAAATGTAAAGATTTTCTATGTAACAGTACTAGTAACTAAAATGTATTGACTTTATATGCCACTCTTCTAGGTATTTCACACATTTATTAGTTCATTTCATTTTCAAGACAACACTCTGTAGCACAGATTATTTAGCCTCACTTTATACCTGAGGAAACTAAGGCACAGAAAGGTGATAAAATCTTTCCTAAGATACTGTTTTGCAAGATTACAGTATCAATACATGCTTTAAAAAATTTTTGTCTCAGGGCGCCTGGGTGGCTCAGTCAGTTAAGTGTCTAACTCTTGGTTACGACTCAAGTCATGATCTCATGAATTCATGAGTTCAAGCCCCACTTCAGCTTGTGTGCTGACTGGGCAGAGCCTGCTTCTGATTCTCTCTCTCCCTTTCTCTCTGCCTCTTCTCCACTCTCTCTCTCTCAAGATAAACAAAACTTAAAAAAATTTTTTTTGTCTTATCACACCAAGATTACAACAAACATAAAACCAAATGCCTTTTTTCCCCCCATTAATTTATTTGAGGCAAACACTTTTTGGAGAATAAAAATTTTTTTAATTTAAAACTGTGTTAAGCTAATGCTAGGATTTTTCATTAGAGATGAAGTTTAATAAATAAATAAATAAGTAAATAAGTAAATAAATAAATAAGACAAGCTCCTTAATCATACACAGAATGGGTGACTGAGCATAAAATAATCCTATAAAGACTATAGTTTTTAAGGCGGTTCAAGATGGCAGCATAGGAAGATCCTGAACCCATCTCCTCCTATGGACAGAGCAAATCTTCAGCTACATCTAGAACAATTAGTTCCTTCTGAGAAAGACCTGAAAACTAGCCCAGCTCCTCCACAACAAAAGATAAAATGTACACATCAATAAGGATACGAGAGGCAGAGACATACTGTTGCCAAAAACCCCAGCCCTGATGTGGAGACCCACAATCAGGAGTGATCTCACAAATATGGAGCTTCTTCCTGAGGAGGTGCCCTATCTTCCTGAGGAGGTACCCCAACTCTTGGGAACTACACTAGAGAAATAGGCCCCCAAAATGTCTGGCTTGCAAACCAATGTGGCTTATGTACGGGAGACTCAAAGGGCTATAGGGAAATGAGATTCTGCTTTTAAAAGGCTTGTGTGCAGATCTACTTGCCCTGAGACCCACGGTCAAAATGGCAATTTGAAAGCACCTAGACCATATGGGGAAATGATTCATCTGTTAACCTTAAAGTGTCTGCAAGAGGGACAGGGGCCTGTTGGGACTTTTTCTGGGAACAGAAGCACTGGCAGGTATGCCCTACAGCCCTGCTAAAGCTGGCAGGCACACCCCACCCCCATGTATATATGTGGTCTTTCTCTACACATACATACACACACACATACAGGAATACTACTCAGCCATAAAAAAGAATGAAAATCTTGCTATTTGCAACAACATGGATGGACCATGAGGGTATTATGCAAGATGAAAGAAGTCAGACAGAGAAAGACAAGTACAATATGACTTCACTTAATATGGACTCTAAAAAACAAAACAAAAACTGAGAATAAACTGAGGGTTGATGGGGGGTGGGAGGGAGGGGAAAGTGGGTGATGGGCACTGAGGAGGCCACCTGTTGGGATGAGTACTGGGTGTTGTATGGAAACCAATTTGACAATAAATTTCATGTTAAAAAAAACAAAACAACAACAACAAAAAAACCCCAAAGAAGTATTGGCCCAAAAAGTCAAAAGTCATGGCACTGAGGAACCTTAACTTACAGGAGGGGACTAGACACTGTTTATCTTTGTATTTGAAGCAGACAGTATTGTATCTGCCACATAATGGACACTCCAGAAATATCTATTCAACCAATAAACTTGTGCAGATATATGAAAGAAACAAAACAAAAAAACAAAAAACAAACAAACAAACAAACAAAATGCAACACAACTAACAGATACAGAGAAACAACTGGTGGCTGCCAGAGGGAAGGGGTTTTAGGGGGATGGGTGAAATGGGTAAAGGGGTTTATAAGTTAAAAACTAAGAGTTATAAAATAAATAAATCATAGTGATGTAAAGTACAGCATAGTAACTATGTCAATGATAATGCACTGCAAAACTTGAAAGTTGCTAAAATAGTACATCTTAAAAGTTCTCATGAGGGGCGCCTGGGTGGCGCAGTCGGTTAAGCGTCCGACTTCAGCCAGGTCACGATCTCGCGGTCCGTGAGTTCAAGCCCCGCGTCAGGCTCTGGGCTGATGGCTCAGAGCCTGGAGCCTGTTTCCGATTCTGTGTCTCCTTCTCTCTCTGCCCCTCCCCCGTTCATGCTCTGTCTCTCTCTGTCCCAAAAATAAATAAACGTTGAAAAAAAAAAATTAATTAAAAGTTCTCATGAGAAAAAAATTTTTGTTACTTTATAACAAAAACTTTATAATGACAGATGGTAACTAGACTTATATTGGTGATCATTTGGCAATGTATACATATATTCAATCCTATAGTACACCTGAAGCCAATATAATGTTACATGTCAATTATACCGAAGTAAAAAAACTATAGCTTTTTTCAAATTATATTAAATAATAATCTCCATACTGTTTTCCAGTATGGAGGTTCCTCAAAAAAATTAAAAACAAAACTACCCTATGACCTAGCAATTGCACTAGGTATTTATACAAAGGATACAAAAATGTTGATTTAAAGTGGCACAGGCACCCCAATGTTTACAGCAGCACTATCAACAAGAGCCAAATAACGGAAAGAGCCCAAATGTTCATCAACTGATGAATGGATAAAGATGTGGTATATACATACAATGGAATATTACTGAGTGATCACAAAGAATGAAATCTTGCCATCTGCAACAATGTGGACGGAACTAGAGGGTATTATGCTAACAAGTCACAAAGAAGAGAAAGACAAGGGGCGCCTGGGTGGCGCAGTCGGTTAAGCGTCCGACTTCAGCCAGGTCACGATCTCGCAGTCCATGAGTTCGAGCCCCGCGTCAGGCTCTGGGCTGATGGCTCAGAGCCTGGAGCCTGTTTCCGATTCTGTGTCTCCCTCTCTCTCTGCCCCTCCCCCGTTCATGCTCTGTCTCTCTCTGTCCCAAAAATAAATAAATGTTGAAAAAAAAAATTAAAAAAAAAAAAAAAAGAAGAGAAAGACAAATATATTATTTCACTCATTTGTGGAATTTAAGAAACAAAACATATGAACATAGGGGAAGAAAAAGAAAAATAAGATAAAAAGAGAGAGGGAGGCAAATAATAAGAGACTCTTAAATACAGAAAATGAAATGAGAGTTTCTGGAGGGGTTTAGGGTGGGGGAATGGGCATTATGGAGGGCACCTGTTGGGATGAGCACTAGGTATTACATGTAAGTGATGAATCACTAAATTCTACTCCCGAAATCATTATTACACTATATGTTAACTAACTTGGATTAACATAAAATTCAAATATTAAAAAAAAAAATTTCTACTTTACACTGCTGCATTAGTCTTCTATTTACAAATAAATATTAATATGATACACTCTTTTCTTTATACAGTGTGAAATAATGTACATTAAGATACAGTTGAGAACTGATGGAGACTTACCTTGACAATAGTTTGATAAACAAAAGGAAGAACTTGTTTTGACCACTGTTTCTCAAGACGAACTTCACCATTTTGATTTATTTGGTATTTACGACCTGTGAGTAACTGAACATACACAACTGCAGATGTTTCATTTATTATTATTCCTTTTCTTCTTAGGTAGCTAAAAAAAGTATGAAAAAGAAATGTAGATATGAATGATTGTGTATGTATTCTAGGATGTTAGTAAAACTACTAACTCATTATCAAATGCTTAAAAATTTTTTAAATAAATATGCTATCAGTTCTGAGTACCTAACGTAAGATTTTTTGCATTAGTTTTTTTAGTCTACGGATACCTCTCCCAATATCTGTGTGATTAAATAAAAACTCAATTAAGATGTGTAAGAAATTCTTGTATTTCATAATCACTAGAAGGGGATAAGAAAAAAAAAGTGAAAACAGCAAGTGTTGGAAAGGATATGGAGAAAGTGGAACACGTGCACATTGCTGTGGGAATGTAAAATGGTACAGCCACTGTGAAACAGTTTGACAGTTCTTTAAAAAGTCTAGCAATTCCATTTCTAGGTAAGTACACAAACGACTGGAAAGGTACTCAAATGAATATTTATAAATGAATGCATAGCAGCATTACTCACTATAGCAAAAATGTAGCAAGAATCCAAATGTCCTCCAACAGATGACTAGCAAAAGGTGGTATATCCATACAACAAAATATCTGGCCATAAAAAGAAAGAAGTACTGATACATGCTACAAATTTTAAAAACATGCTGAGTGTAAGAAGTTAGACACAAAAGGCCACATGCTATATGTGTTCCATTTACCAGGACAGGTGGATCTAGAAAGAGAGAAGGAGGTTGACAGGAGCATTCAGTGGGCTTTTTCAATCTAAAGTAGAGGTTGGCAAACTATAGTCATGAGCCAAATCCAGACTGCCTCCAGTTCTTGTAAATAAAATTTTACTGAAAACATAGTCATCTATTTATTTACCGTCTATGATAGCTTTTGTGTTACAACAGCATAGGTGAGTAGTTGTGACAAACACTGTAAGGTCTACAAAGCCTAAAATATTTACTCTCTGGCCTTTACAGAAAAAATTTGCTGACCTCTGATCTGATGATACAATCATTCTCCATCCAAGGATATTTTCCTATCTCCTTTCCATTTCCTATTTCTAGAACTCCTATCAGAAAAATATTAAAAAAAAAAAAAAGAAATTCTGACTAATTTTTTCATCTCTTCATGCTTTTGTACTGTATGTTGAAGAAATCCCTCAGCTTTATCTTTTAGCTCACAGATTCAATTTTTAGTTTGCCTATATTACTATTCAGGCCATATGCTGAGTTCACAGTATCATAATTTAAATTTTTATATTTGTGTTTTTATATAAATATATATATAATATGAATATATTATAAGTATAAATAGTACATAGTTGGATAACATTATTGTATATGTTTTTTTCATAGCAGCTTATACTTCTCAATGGTGGTAGGGCTGGTCTGAAATAAGCCACGCCATCTTTTTTTTTTTTTTTTTTTTTTTTTTTTTTTTTTTTTTTTTTCAACGTTTATTTATTTTTGGGACACAGAGAGACAGAGCATGAACGGGGGAGGGGCAGAGAGAGAGGGAGACACAGAATTGGAAACAGGCTCCAGGCTCTGAGCCATCAGCCTAGAGCCCGACGCGGGGCTCAAACTCACAGACCGCGAGATCGTGACCTAAGCCACACCATCTTAAAAAAGTTTTCCAACAAATTTTTGAAATGTAGCATTCTACTACCATTTTCTAAAAATTCAGTGGGATTTTTTTCCTACTACTTCACTCAAAAGTTATTTAGCCAGTAATCTTGCTACCAATAGGACAAGTATATCACAAGAAAGGAAAATTATCTACCTATCTCTCTCATGAAAGTAAATGCAAAAATCCTAAACATAATGTAACAAATCGAATCCAGTTACATATAAAACAGATAATACATCATAGTCTAAGGGGATTTACTCCACGAATTCAGGGGTAGATTTGTATTTTTTTAATTTATTTTTTTAATGTTTATTTATTTTTGAGAGAGAGACAGAGACAGAGCGTGAGTCGGGGAGGAGCAGAGAGACAGGGAAACACAGAATATGAAACAGGCTCTAGGCTCTGAGCTGTCAGCACAGAGCCTGATGTAGGGCTTGAACTCACGAACTGTGAGATCATGACCTGAGCCAAAATCGATTGCCCAACTGACTGAGCCATCCAGGCGCCCTGTGGGGTAGATTTGCATTTTATATTCAATCAACAATGGGGTGCCTGGGTGGCTCAGTCAGTTAAGAATCCGACTTCAGCTCAGGTCATGATTTCACAGCCCGTGGGTTCAAGCCCCACTTCGGGCTCTGTGCCAACAGCTCAGAGCCTGGAGCCTGCTTCAGATTCTGTGCCTCCCACTCTCTCTGTCCCTCTCCTGGTTCACGTTGTCTCTTTTAAAAAATAAACATTAAAAAAAATTAAACAAAAATTCAATCAATGTAATTCACCAGATTACAATTTTAAAAATCATATGATCATTTTGATAGATGCAGGAAAAAAAAAACTGACAAAATCACTATCAATTAATGATATAAACTTTCAACTAACTAGTAATAGAAGGAAATTTCCTTAATCGGATAAAGAATATTGATTTAAAAAAGCCTCTACAGCAACCATCATATTTAACAGTGAATCGTTTAAGGCTTTTCCCTGAAATTGAGAATAATACCACAAATTTATAACAAAAATTACAAATATGAGAAAGGTAATCAAATCAGTCACAAAAAAGGGCAAAATATCTGAACAGGGGGCACCTGGGTGGCTCAGTTGGTTAAGCGTCCAACTTTGGGTCAGGTCACGATCCCAAAGTTTGTGAGTTCAAGCCCTGCCATTGGGCTATCTGCTGTCAGCACACAGCCTGCTTCAGATCCTCGGTCCCTCTGTCTCTCTCTATCCCTCCCCCATTCATGTTCTCTCTCTCTCTCTCTCTGAAAAATAAAATACATATTAAAAAAAAAATCTGAACAAGCATTGCCCAAAAGAGCACATTCAAATGGCTGGCAAATATGAAACAGCCATCAAGGAAATGCAAATTAAACCAAAATGAAATATCACTATATTAGAATGGCTAAAATGGAAGAGACACTAATAAGTATTGGTGACAGCAGAGATAAAAGATATTCTTATAAATTGCTGGAAGAATGTAAATTGATACAATCACTTTATTATTTATTTTTTTTAATGTTTATTGTATTTTTGAGAGACAGAGAGACAGAAAGAGAGAGAGAGAGAGAGAGAGAGAGAGAGAGACAGAGACAGAGACAGAGACAGAGCATGAGTGGGGAAGGGAAAGAGAGAGGGAGACACAGAATCCGAAGCAGGCTCCAGGCTCCAAGCTGGAGAGCCTGATGAGGGGCTCAAACTCACAAACCACGAGATCATGACCGGAGCTGAAGTCAGCACTTAACTGACTGAGCCACCCAGCTGCCCCAATACAATCACTTAAAAAAAAAAAATTATTTTTAAATTTATTTATTTTGATAGTGTGTGCACAGACATGATCAGGGGAGGGGCAGGGAGAGAGAGAATCCCAAGCAGGCTCTGCGCTATCAGCGCTGATAGCACAGAGCCCCATGTGGGGCTTGATCCTACAAACCATGAGATCATGACTTGAGCTGAAACCAAGTGTTGGACACTTAACTGAATGAGCCACCCAGGCGCCCCAATATAATCACTTTACAAATCTTTTTGGTGTTATCTACTAAAGCTGAGCTTAAGCATTATCCTATGAAGCAATAATTCCACTCTTAGATATGTACCTAACAGTAATGCATACATACGTATTCACCAAAAACCCCAAACCAGAAACAACTCAATTGTCTGTCTACAATAGAATGGAGAAATAAATTATCCTATATTCATACAACATAATTTAATCATTAGTCAAAATGAATGAACTAAACGATACATAACAACACAGATGAATATGAGAATCACAGTATTGAGCCAAAGAGGTCAGGTTAAAAAAGAATACATTCTGTGTGATTCATACAAAGTTCAAAAATAGGAAAAACTAATCTCTAGGGTTATAAATCAAAATAGTTACATTTGGAAGAGAGAAGTGAATGTTAATGGCTGGAAGAGGGTTTAAGGGACTTTGTGGGATTATGGCAACTTTTCTGTTGGTTCTATTTTGTGACTTGTATTCTGTTCATGCGTGTGAAAACTTACCAAGTTTATACACTTATGATTTGCATATATTCTTTTCTATGTATGTATATATACTTTGATAAAAACTTTCTATTAGAAAAAAAACCCAAATAGTAATTCAGAACAATATCTTTAAATTTTCAAGTGGTAGGGAGATTTTCTTTCTATTTTCCTTTTACTTTACACTTTTATTGCTTTTGGGTCAGTTTTGTAGTCCATATACATTTTTTTAACACCTGAATTTTTTTTTTAATTTTTATTTTTAAGTAAACTCTACCCCCAATGTGGGGCTTGAACTCATGACCCTGAGATCAAGAGCTACATGCTCTACTCATTGAACAAGCCAGGCACCCCTAGTCTGTGTTCTTTCTTTTATTATTATTTTTTTTATTTTTATTTATTTTAATTTTTTTTTTTAATGTTTATTTCTGAGGCAGAGAGAGACACAGCATGAGTGGGGGAGGGTCAGAGAGAGAGGGAGACAGAATCAGAAGCAGGCTCCAGGCTGAGCTGGCAGCAGAGAGCCCGACACGAGGCTTGAACTCACAAACCATGAGATCATGACCTGAGCCGAAGTCGGTCACTCAATCGACTGAGCCACCCAGGCACCCCTATTTTTTTTTATTTTTAAAGAATGTTTTTTAGGTGTTTATTTATTTTAGAGAGAGAGAGAGAGAACACAAGCAGGGGAGGGGCACAGAGAGAGAGGGAGACACATAATCTGAAGCAGGCTCCAGGCTCTGAGCTGTGAGCGCAGAGCCTGATGTAGGGCTCAAATTCATGAACCGCGAGATCATGACCTGAGCCAAAGTTGGAGGCTTAACCAATTGAGCCACCCAGGCGCGTCTCTTTGTTTTTTAATTGAAGTGTAATTGACATACAGCATTGTATTAGTGTTAGTATTACTACACAGGGAGATACAAAAATGGCATCTGCTAGCT